AGAACTAATTTAGATAAATTTTTGAATAAATATTTATATAATTATAAAACGAATTAAACTTTTCCTAAAAATTAAATCTGAAGTGGAAGTTAAATAAGACCAACTTCTAAAAAAATGCATTACTATTTTTAACTTATAAAAAAATTAATTCATTTTAATAAATATTTATATGAGAAAAAATAAAATATATTAATATTAGAATTAAAATCAAGTTATATACTTTATTTATTAAAAAAAAGTAAGTTATTTTTAATCTATAAAAGTATAATTTATTTCAACACTTTCATTTTTCTCCTATAAAAGTTATCGACAAGTTTAAACAAAGTAGGCCTAACTCCAACATTCTGCAGCTACAAAATGTTATGATTTGGTACGTCCAATACATCTCACCTCACGCAGGTTGAGTTAAAACACACCTCGTTAATTATAAGGTAAGTTGAATATAGGTTTATCATTAATTTGCTTTTGTGGTCTCCAGCTTGTAATTAACAATTAACATTGTACTTAGCGTGATTAATTAACAATGAAGTATACACATGAAAATTATTATTGAACCAGAAATGTTGTCTGATTCTGAATTGCCTTGAGTAGGAGGAACCTCCACTTCATTACATAACTTTTTTATAGCTTTTTCTCTGTTACTCAAATTCTTCAGTTTCTTTACGCTCCCATTCAACAAAAGCGACTTCGTCGACCTGCGTCCACTGCATGTTAACTCCTCCTAACCCTCGGAATGGTGACGCCCTCTTCAATTGCTCCATTGCTTTGCTCTTTTATATTTTGTAAATGATAATGAATATTACTGGTCAATAAAATATTATCAATAAGTTGGAAAGGAATAATTGATCTCACTTGGTTGCATTAGTTCGTTTCAAGAAAATAATTAAATGCTTTCTTTCACACTTTTCTAAGACTTTTTAAAATAATTAGTTTATATGTTTCAATTGTTTTCTGACATATGCTTATTCAATTTAGTTTACAATTTATATAATTAATATGTTAATTTTACATAGGTATTCACATTTAGTATTATCATTTACAAATTGTAACTGATTTTACATTTATCATGAATATGGTGTTTTAATTTATGTAGATGATAAATTACTTTAAATATTGTGAATAATCATTTTTATAAATATAAATGAAAATATATAAAGCACAGAACAAGATATATAAAGTATAAATTATAATATTTTCTGGTACAAATTTAGAGTTTTTTTCTTCTTTATAAAAAGTTTTATTGAATGTTAAATTAAATTTTTGTACACACATGGCATATATATTATTTTTATATTGATCTAATTTAATTTCTCTATCCAATTTTTTTATTATATTACATCACTGATTATATTTTATATTTTTCACGAAATGCATACACCCTATAACTATATAATTAATAACCATTTTCCCTCTTTGTTTAGAATTACAAATCACACTAACTACTATTATTGATTCAGAATTTGAAATTTATTTAAAGACTAGATTAAGATTAGTAGATAAAATAAGAGGATAAATATGATCTATTTTATTTTATTTATAACATATTTTTAAATCAATATAATAAATCTATCGTATTCACGATGTTATCGTACTCTTTTCTCTAGCATAAAATTTATCATGCAGAGGAAAATGGGTTAAAAATAAATGTGATATGATAATATAATATATTATCATAAAATTAAACAAAATATACCTTTAAGACAGAAATAATAATTAATTTTAATCATACTGTTCCTTACTTAATTCTAAAATATTTTATACTTCTATCATAAATATGTAAAAAAGATGATGAAAATTATATTAAAAATTATTCTAATATAAATAAATATATTTGTTGTTTTTTGATTAGTTTATGTGCTACTCTTTTAAAAAAATAAAAATTAATTAAATAATAAATTTAAAATATTAGTTCACGCTCTTTATTTCTTTTATTCATTTAATTTTAAAAAATATTTATTATTAAAAATTTAATATAGTATTAATTATTTTTATCTAATTTTAAATATTTTATTCAGTTATCTTAAATAATAAATATCATATCAAAAAATTAAAATATTTTCAATATAAATAAAATTGTTAATTATATATTTTTTAATCAATATAAGACTTAAGAAGACAGAAAAATAAATTAAAATAAAAGATGTTATTTCTGTCCGTTGTTTCACTCCAAATTAATAATAGCTCATCAACTCAGCTTGCTATCAGCGCACGTGAGGTAGCTTTAATGACATGGTTTCTCATCGACACAAGCAATTTCATCTGAAAAGGCACTAAATTCGTTCCCAAAGTTTCTTTTTGCATTATCCCGATTCACCAATCCAGTTGCAACTAGACAAGTAAAGATAATTACAAAACCAATATCCATACTCAGAAAATCACACAATTTAGAACTGTTTTTGCTTGAGACATTCTCATTTTTAATAAAAACTGAAACTTCTTTGACGTGATCATTATGGGCATATGTAAGATATATATTGGAATATTTTACACATTTAATATACAAATATTAGTTATCTTTAAACATTATACTTATATTTACTGTGATATATTTCTCCATAATTTATGAGTTTAGTTTATTCTAAACTTCACTTTATGCATCCACTTAAAAAAATAAGCAAAGGTTACCCCTCTTCACAAAATAAAAAGCATTCTTAGTTGTAGGGACTGTCAATCCGAATAAAAAAATGATATTATCCAATTAATAAAGCATTCTGAACAAAGACATTTCCATGGCACCGCCAAAAAGGGGGATTGTAGCTGTGCCCATAAAGAACATGGCTACTTGATAAAGAGGTTGTCACAAAAGTATGAGAGAAAAGTGAGACATCATTTTAGCAAAGATGACACTTTGATTGTAACTACGAAACCACTGTTTTTCTCCACCACTCAATAGAGTGTTTTGGCCTTTTCTTTTACCTCCTAATTTCAACTACGATTTCTAAGTACAACGACATTTTCTGGTTTCTCTTTCTAATTGTAAAGAAAAAGAGTGTGTCTCCTATAAGATTCTGAATCATATGCAGAGAAAACGAAACAAGTGGGATTTTGAGTGTTATCCACCCGAATAGACGAGTGAGTGCCTAGTTCGCCAATAATCAAGTTAAGGCTCCATTTGGATAACGTAGGTACCAAGCATAAGCTACAAACTACAATATAACTCATCATGAATACCAAAGTATCAAACTGCGTTTTTTATATGATTTGTGTGTGTGTGTGTGTGTGAAATAAGTGTTATTTATGTTAATTAGGCGAATGCTGATGGAATTATGTTATGAACCGAACAAATCATTCCATTGATAGTGTTTATCATGAGCATTTATACTTCAATAATGTACCGTATATACAAGAATATCATATGACGTGCTTATCATCATCTCTAATTATTCATGAAAAGATTAATTTGATAAACTGTCCACATCTCATGGAATCATCATTTATTATATTTGAGTAAATATTTTGGGCATTGTACTCAAATATAAAATAAGCAAATCATGGTACTCTTGATTAAATGTGAATGAAATTAATACAGTAGTTGGGCATTTTACTTCATGTAAGATAAAATTAATATAACATTTTTCTTTAGCATTTGCTGGCTCAATTTGGGAAGACAATATTTGTTTAGTTAAAATAATTTCTATGATTTTTTTTTTCCTTTCTCACAAAAACACAAGCCACGTGCTTTTATTTTTAAAAAAATCTAAACAATGATTCACGGTTATTTAATATTGTCTAAATAAATTGAACATTTTCTCTTCTAACTCATCGAAACAAATGGAAAATATAATTTAAACAATATAATATCTAAAGAATACACGTTCTTATAATAGAACAAGTTTATATTCTTAAATTAATACAGATAATTTTTTTTTAATTTTACTTGTTTAAAGTCATATGGTTTTGCTGTCATTCAGAATTTATTTTAGACTATTTTCTTATTAGAATTTCATTTTGATGCACAATAAGTAAAAATATTTTTATAATATCAACTAATTAAAATATATGACAAATATGATTTTAAAATTAATTAGTCTTACATATATAACCATTTATATGATGATATAAAAAAATATTTACACTGTTAATATTTTTCAATTAAAATTGTATTCTTATTTAAAAAAATTTACGTTGAAATTTTTTCTTTCAAAACCTTTACAATTTATATGTATTATCGTATTTCTTACATTTTACTTTTTCTCAATTAATTTTTACTTTCTTTACATTATAATTTGCTCCCCCAAAAAAAAAATTTCAAATTGTTTCACTTTTATATAGTAAAGAGGGACGTAGCATTCTTAAACTCTCTTCCTTTAAAATATAAATTTAAATATTTTGAGGTGATTATACATATAATTTTTTACACTTGAATCAATTATTTAACATTTTCTCAATGTTTTTACATATATTATAAATTTGAGCTAAATTCTAAAAATGCTCGTGTAATATGGAAATACTAACAAGTTAATTTTAGGGGATTAAAGTGGAAACAAACGATCAAGTTGCGAAGGAAAGGAAAAAAAAGAAGAAACAAAACAAAATTGTCATTAAAAAATGAATGAAAAGAAAGAAAAAAAAAAGAGAAATGGTAGATAAATTTTAGCAGTTCTTCCTATGGAAAACTAAACCCATTTAGAGGAAAAATTAAAAAAGAAAAAAGGAGCAAAAATGAGTAAGTAATTGTGACATGTGTGGGCACTTATTGACCGACTTACCCTAAAAGAAGAGTGTAGGCTGCATTTCATGTGGTACAGGTGAAGTTTCACATTCTGAAAAGTAAAATACAACCAAAAGTGCTCAACAGCTTAACGCCATTTGGACCTGAAATCAACGTCTTGGATGGATGGATAGGTAGACATGGATCGCTCCATTAATGGTAAATTATGAACAGGTTCCATGAATAAAAGCCTACAATCCAAAGGGCCTCAAATACATTATTCATTCATTGATTTAAATCATGGATTTGAGTTAAGGGCAAAAGCAAAACAACTTTTTTAGGTTTTTGGTGCATAAAAAAGATTTTCTTGGTTATTGTTCCCTGTAGGTCCACACCCTTTCACCCCATTATTCCTTTTCCATGCCTTCTTCTCACGCCAAAACTCTTCATATAAACCCCACAAAAACACTCTTTCTAAAGCCCTCATGCATAGTGGCCCTTTCAGTCCCATCAAAATTCCCTCTTTTTCTCATCACCCAAACATTGCTCTCTCTTCCATCATGGGCTTCATTTTCCTACTATCATTTCTCAAACAATCATAGTTCCCGATGGAGAAAACAAAGCTTGTGAGAATGGAATTGGAAAGTAGGTTTCTTATGGAATTGAAGTTCGTTTCATCCTTATGTCTCCATAAATTTATGAACCTTCTATGTGAAGAAACCGCTTCCTTTCTCTCTGTGTTCTCTTCAGATCCTCTGTTTTCATGCATTGTCACATTCACCACCTTGGTTTTTCTCTATCTGCCACACCTGTTTTTGAATATAGTTTTCTCGCCTGTGCTTATTCTCACTGCGATTCTCTTGCTCTCCATTCTCCGCCTCGGTGCAATTCAGAGGTCTCAACATGAACACAAGGAAAACCAAGGGAAACCCGGAGAACCCATCAACGATGAAAAGAGGGGAAGCAAACGCAGAGAACAGAAACAGAGTTCGTGTCCCATTGAACCAAATGAAACAAATCCTATGGAACAAGTGCACCAGTGGTCAAATTCATCTGTTCATTCAGAAACAGAGTTCAATTACGAAATGGGTTTCGAGTCAAGTTCGTGTTTTGTTGAATGGAACGTGAAAGCGCCGTTGGAAGTTATATATGAAGAGTATGGTGAAGGTGAAGAAGCAGAGGATGATCCGAACGAGAAAGAAGAAAATAGGAACATGGGTATTTTGAGGTACCCTTCGTTGTCACGTTACTACCCGGAATCGGATTCAGATAGCTCGTCGGAGAGTGAGTTTCCTGCGATAGGGGATTGGGACTCGCCGGAGGATGTTTGCTTCAGGTGGGACGAAGAAGAAGAAGGAGACAGAGAAGGGTTGATTGAGATAGCTCTTGATGGTTGCAAGATGAAAAGGGCCTTGGAGTTTCACTTCGAGGAAGAGAATTTGATTGAGATTGATATTTCTCCGTCGAGGTACAGAGAACTTTCCGGCGAAGACGAGGCCTTTTCCGGTGAGATCTGTTGAAACTAATGTGATATTAATTGAAGATTAACGTAGTGGATCGTTGTGCTTTTTGGAGTCGGTCAAAGGGGAGACCGGAGAATAGAAATATGTGATTTTTTTTAATCGTAGGGTTTTGGTGCTTTGCAATTTTGAACTTCTTGATTGATTAATTCCTATTATTTCAAGTACATCGTATATATTTTTTTTTTTATTTTTATACATCTGTGTCTCAAAAATACTCTTTTAACATATTAAATAACAACTTTTATTGCTAATATTTTATTATATATAAAACATTTTATTGCTGAAATTTAAAAATATCATTTATTAATAAATAATTTTTACATTTAAATAAATGTTTTCAAGTGTTACGATAATATTTTTTAATATAGATTTGAAAAGGTTAGACTAATAACATGATTTATTATACTAAAAATTAATTTTGTTTGAAAAAAATATTATTATATACTATCAAAATTTAAATTTTAATATAATATATTATTTGTTACATTTAGCTTTGAAATTTTATATTAATAATTTCTTTTGTTTGCAAAAAATATACCAATAAAAATTATCCTAACACTTAATAATTTTTATTCGATTAGCAAAAAAAAAAAATTAATTTGTATTCGATAATAAAAGATAATTTTTTGTAGAGCAGATTATTGAATTTATGCACTAAATAGTTTATTGAATTTAAACAATCATATGCTTTATTTTTAATGTATTTTATGTAGGATGTACAAGTTTTTTTTAATAAAAAAACATTTTAATCGAGTCACCATAGCATATTAAATATAGGTTTCTCTCAATACGAATTTGAATTATAGTTCATTTATTGTGTGAGAGATTAATCCTTATATTAGATTTAAATTTCATTAGTACACAAGTACTTTCGTGATCCCTCTTTCTCAAATGTCAAATTATAATAATAAAGTTGGCAACCAAATTTGTAAGTACACGTAGCATTGTGGTAGCGAGGAAGCTGCACTTGATTCGACTATTGCAGCATGAAACTCCATAGTCTGCAATCTATCTACGTGTAGTGGCTTGCATGTTCATATGCCCTGTAGAACAATTCGTAGACAAGTAGTTAAGTGCACACATGATCACTCATGTACATAAATTGAAAATGGGTTGTATTCTCTTTTTGTGTTATTAACTTAACTTTAATTGGGTTTAACTAGTAGTAAATAATTCCTTGTTAGGAATGATCGTTTTAAATCATTTGGAGATCCTTCCAGAAATTGTTGCAATTGAGATCTTGAGTTTGAGGACGAGAGTAGAAACCATTCTGTGAGAATATCTCATAGGGTCTTCAAAAATAATAAAATTATCTTTAATTTTACATACCTTTAAATATTTTTTTAGTCTTTTCTTTAATGTAAATGTACCCTTTTGTAATTTTAAATTTATTATTATTTGAAATATTTTATTTTATTTTTTTATAATGTCAGAGAGAAAAAATTATCCTGAAGTGAGAAACAAGGAGGGGAGCATGAAAACATTGGGGACGTGAGAATGGAGAGTAATTATTGCTAATGTCATTCCTAATTAATATTGCTAAGGTCGTATATATTATTATGTAGAGGAATTCTACTTTTTATTTTTCATAAGAATTCTACTTTTTACGGTTTTGTGTGAACTGTAAGCCTGTAATTAATATATTTTTTATATTTTTGTTTAAAATAAAAAAATATTGCTTAAACAAAAATAAAAAAATGCACTAATGCAGAAGATGTGGTCTAAAAAAATCCCTATAATTCACCTACTTTTTATGAGGGACTAATTCCATCCATTAGATCCAAATTATGTTGGTGTTATATTACTTTCTATCTTCTCATTTTTCACATCCAAATAATAATAATAATAATAATAAATTATAGACTTGCAACCAAATTTGCAAGTACACGTAGCATTTGTAGTAGCGAGGAAGGTGATAAGTGGTTTATCTATTCCAGCATGATACTCCACTCCGTGAAGTGGTTTGCATGATCATGTGGTCGGTATAAAATATCATAGACAACAAATCAGGTGCACACATGATACAGTACATATCAAATTTAGGATAATGCTAAACGTGTAATCAAATACTTTATAAATGGATAATATTCTTTTTTTGTGTGTAATACACTTTATCGTTAAGTTTAACTTTGTAGAAAGAAAAAGTGAAAAACTTTCCTGAGGCTATAAATTACCGCTTGCCAGATAACCAGTCATACAAATTAATGAAATTGGTTTACAAAGAAAAACAAATTAATAATTGGCTTTTTAAATTATAATCTGAAAAATAAACAGCATTTATGTACAAGTGTACTTTACCGGTTAATCTCGATTAAAGCTTGAGTTTTGCACTAATATGTTGCTTCATTAACATTCATTTTTTCCAATGTTGATGGGCTATCTTAAATGTCCAAGCTCCTGCCAACTGTAACTTGACTAAGATTTTTTAATCTACGAGAAGCAATCAACTCTTTCCCAACTAAAAACACGTCAAAATACATGTAAATGAAAATTCAACATAGAAATTATAGTTAATAGAGTTAAAATAAATGTAAATTTATTTACATTTTAACATGAAACCAAATATTGAAGGGCTATGTTAATCATCTAAGTTCATGTAAATTGTAACTTGAGTAAGGCTTCTTTAGCCAACATGAAACCCAACCCATGATTTTAAATAAACAGGGAGAGAATTTTGTTGCGATTACCCTAAGGCTCAATCGACCCAACAAATCCTCCCTAATTCTTACCTGATTAGCCTTAACTTTGATTGCAATTAAACTAGCCATTATACACTCCTGCTACAAATTAGTGGAAACTTGAGCAAGGAAAAGGTCTTCACCTTCTGAATTCTCAATCTGGGCTAGCACAATTCTTGATTGCTAGTTCTGGGTGCCTGTCGGGCCATCAAAAACAAACGAGTTAACCCTTACATACTAGGAAAAAACTATACCTTGCATTAAAGAAAAACTTCAAAGTAATTACCTAATTTCTATGTTGCATTTGGATGCAAAGAGAAAATGAGAACAAAAATAAAAAAATAAATATTTGAGAAAAGAAAATAATTTTTTTTTCTTGTTTAGTTAAAATAAAGGGAGAAGAAAATGAAAATAGAATTATATTAAATTAATTTTATTATTTTCATATTATAACGATATTGATAAATAGAAAATTATCATTTTAATTTATTTAAAACTCTATGTAATTAGTATACTTCCTTTTTATTTTTTCTCTCTCTAACCTAATAGTATATAATTTTTTAGGATTGAGAATATGAGTTCAACTCATTAGATTGACTTGCTTAACTCATCAAGGACGAGCTGGATTTTCAAACTTGCCAACCCACGCTTGTTTAACCTGCAATTTAAAATATGTTTGAAGGAGATGAGACGGACTGATCCATCAAGTTAAATATTTTAAAAAATATTTTTTACATATATAAATTTAATAAATAGTAAAAGTCAAATATTTATATAAGACTAGTTATACATGTGTATGTGTGTGTGTGTAGGATAGTTTGGACCCAATTCATTTTTTGGCAGATTCTTAGCATGGGAACAAATTGTATTGGGTTGTCCATTTTACCATCCTCAATTTTATATTATTTTCATTGTATTTTTCTTGAAACTTCTAATCACTCATTTAGTTCCCATCTATTTTCACCCCAATCAAATGTAACTAGATGTTTTAACAAAAAAGAATGGGTAATGTGTATATGTTGTAACTAGATGTTCTAATCAATGTAACAAAAAAGAATTATGAAGCATTGAGGATGAAGTGGGTCGAACCAGGGTCAAAGTCATACTTATTGAACTACGTTAATAAGTAATAATCAAGGTGAAGCATCACTCACGTAACAAGATCAGTTTACATTTCTATACGTACCAAAAATTTCTATTTTTGTTAATATTTCACGTGTTTCTCTATTTATGGTTCCTATGAAATTAGGACGTAGCAACACAAAATATTGAATCTTGAACCTCACAACAAGATAGTTCGAATGGTAAACTATTATAACATAGCGGTACATTGTATTTTAGAGGTTGTTCATTTTGGTCAACTTCAGAGGTTTTTCTGAAATGCCAATGTCCCCAGTTTTGCACGGTTCGCGGGGATACCTTAAGGCCCTATTCATTGGAGGGTGGATCTAATGCCATTATTGGAATTTACAAATGCTAGAAGGAAGGACGCCACAGCTATTTAAAGACTGATAAGTCACTCCCCCTAACCAATGTGAGACTCATCATCCCCTCCCTCTTCAAGAGAGTTCGCCACGGACGCACCGATAAGACACTTAAGCCGTCACAGATACGCCGATAAGGTCCATCGGCTCCAGCCCAGGCTCTGATACCAATTGATAACAACCACAAACCGTGTTGCCGAATTAAACGATCTTGAATTGGATTCACACAATAAAAACAAAATTATTACGGTACAAATAAGAATTGAAATAAGAAGAAAATTAATAAAAAGTAAAAATAGAATAGAGATGGAAAATGGCGCCACAATCGTAAGATTAATAAGCCAAGGAACGATCGCCACAAGAGTTTTGGCCTCTTGATAAGATCAAAGAAAATTGGCTCACTCAAGAACCTAGAGTCACACGCTCTCACAAGAGTGTTCAATCTCAAATTATATTCAAAACTAATTAAAAGTGTGTTTACAAGAGCTTATATATGCCTAATGCTTGTAAACTAATACTAACGCAAATCCTAATGGGCTTTTGTACCAACAAGCCTAAATTCAAATAAAATAACAAGATTTTATCCTAAATAAAAACTCAAAATAAGTAATGACTAATATTAAAATAAATAAACTAAACATAATAATTAAATCCTAATAAAACTCGTTAGAGTTCAAATCCTCTAAGCATATGTAATTGATTATCTTGGGCTTTTCTAACTCTAAATTGAGCTCCCTTTCAAATAAGACAGCAACAATCTTTTCTAAGTCTCCATTTATTCTTTTTGCCCTTGCCTTGGTCCTTGAACCTTTTCCAATGCCTTCAAGTCTTTGTCTTCAATGGGCCTTCCTTGATTCTCATCAATCCCTCTTTCTTCAAGAAAATTTGTTCTCAAATTTGACTCTTTATTACTTACATCAACGAGAGATAAATCAAATACATTAAAAGTAGCATTAACACCATACTTACCTAATAAGTCCACTTTGTATGTATTATCTCTAATCCTCTTTAAGATTTGAAATAATTCATCCCCTCTTGTTTGAAGCCTTGCATTTCCTTGCATGGGAAACTTTTTTTTGCACATATGTATCCAAACCCAATCTCCAGGTTCAAATTCTACTTTCTTCCTTCCCTTATTGATATACTTTGCTTGTTGCTCCACTTTCTTTTCAATTTGATGTTTTATTTTTCTAATTGGAGGTAGGCAGTAAGATACTTCTTTAGGGAAGACATCTTCAAAATCCTGTAGAAGAGAGAAAACACTACTAGGCAAAATATCGTTAGCAAAGGAATCCATAAATTTATTATGAGGACTTTCTTTATACAGAGGTAAGCACATAGGCTGAGAGGCCAACAAAACTTTCTTTACTTCTTTTTCTCTCACAAACAAATTTTCTCTCCTTTCATATTGATTTTTTTCTCCACCTTTCTTTTTACTCTCATATTTCTCACTTGTAAGTGTTTCACCTTTCTTTTCACTCTCATATTCTTCACTTGTAAGTGTCTTCACTTTCCCCCCTTTCTTTTTAAGTTTGCCTTCAAACTCACTCTTTTTCTTTTCATTTCTTTTCTCATCTTTTTTTTCTTGCTCTCTTCTTAACTTCATGACTTTTTGATCTTCATGTACTTGACTAGGAGTCATGGACACTAAAGTGATTGTGCACCTTTTATGTACAAACGTAAACTTGTTGGAATAACCATTATGAATAGCTTTCTTGTCAAATTGCCATGGTCTTCCCAAGAGGATATGACTTGTTTCCATAGGCACTACATCACATAAGACTTCATCCTCATACTTGTCAATAGAAAAAGTAATCAAAACCTGTCTATTAACAACCAACTCTCCTTCATCACTCAACCATTGTAACTTATAGGGCTTAGGGTGAGGAGTAGTAGTAAGATTCAATTTTTCAACAAGTCTAACACTAGCCACATTGGTACAACTACCACCATCAACAATAAGAGAACAAATCTTTCCACGTACAAGCATCTTGAATGAAAAATATTTTCTCTTTGTGTAGTGTCATCCTCTTTAGCTATACTACCCAAAAGACGCCTTATCATAAGCAAATCTCCTTCATGGCATAAAGCTTCAAACTCACTATCTTCTTCACTGGAAGCATGTGATGATTGAGATGAACTTGCACTTGAGATTTCACCATTCTCCTTCAAAATCATAGTTTTCTTGTTTGCACATTGGGATGCAATATGACTCTTTCCAAGACATTTGAAGCATTTGATTGCTCTATGCTGAGAAGTAGGAGAAGCAGAAGTATTAGTAGAATTAAAAGAAGTTTTAGAGGAAGGTTTACCACTTTGCACAACTGTATCCTTAATTGATATTTCCTCCTTCTTTACTTCTTCCTTCCACCCTTTTGAGTTGTAAGAAGAGACATGTTTCCTCAAAGTACCCTTTCTCTTTAGTTGTGCTTCTACTTTAATAGCTTGATGAACCAAATCTTCAAGTTCCACATAGGGATGAAGTTTCACTATGTCACGGATGTCATGATTCAACCCATTTAAGAAACGAGCCATTGTTGCTTCTCTTTCTTCAGATACATTAGCTCGTATCATGGCAACTTCCATTTCTTTATAATAGTCATCAACACTTTTGCCACCTTGCCTCAAACCTTGAAGCTTTGTGTGAAGCTCTCTATTGTAGTATGTAGGAACAAATCTCCTACGCATTAGGTTCTTCATTTCAGTCCATGTATCTACAGGCTCCTCATTATATCTCTTTCAGTCTCTTTGAATTTGATCTCACCACACCAACGCGTAGTCGTAAAACTCTAGGGAGGCCACCTTTACTTTCTTTTCTTCACTATAATCATGGCATGAGAATACTTGCTCTATCTTCAATTCCCACTTTAAGTATGCTTCAACATCATTCCTTCCATGAAAACTAGGAATTTTTATTTTAACTCCACGAATTCTCTCATTTTCTCTTATTCTTACATCTTCTCTTCTTCTTCTTTGATTCCTCCTCTCTCTATTATCTCTCCACCTATCATACCTCATTTCTTCATCATCTCTCCTATTTCTTCTTCTTTCTCTTGAAGAATTACTAGAGTCTCCATGGGCATGTGGAGAACGATCACGTGACCGCCTTCTTGCATTATTTGCCAACACCTCTTGAACATTCCTTATTGCTTCATTTTGCCTCTCAAACATGCTTTCAAATCTTTGAGCAAGTCTTTCAATTTGCGAGGCAGGAGTGCTCTCTCTACTTGATCCTCCTTCTTGAGACATTCTACAAAACAATAAAAGTTAATGCAAAAAGAAAAGGTTCTCTCCACTCGCTAAGTGTTTTCACTTAGTATATATTCACTCGTGTTTCACTCTAAATTGGCTTTTGTGTAAGGATTTCTCTCTTGCCTTTTTCCCCTCAAATGCTCTCAAGAGTTCTTAAGGAAGTCAACCTCCAATCCACATAATTAACCAAAACCAAGAGACAATCAATTAATGAGACTCAAGTGAAATCAACAAAAGAAAACTCTAAGACAAAACTAAGGAAGCCAACAAGACAATAGAAAAAAAAAAGACTAAATAAGAAATAAGCACACTCAAAAATAGATTGCAAATAAGACAAAATTGAAGAATTTAAAGAAGATTATATAACGTTAAATAACTACTTTTTTTTTGTATGGAATCAAGCAAAATAAGTGAAAGATTGGAAGAAATATATCAAAAACACACTTTTGTGTGTTCCAATTTTATTTTATTTTTTGTAGTATATTTTTTTTTTCAATGAGCAACGTGCGATGAAAAAAAGGCCTCATGCTAAAAGGAAGGACGCCATAGCTATTTAAAGACTGATAAGTCACTTCCCCAACCGATGTGAGACTCATCAGTCTATTTACTGGCCTTCTAAGTGACAACGGTTACCCTTCAGTCCTCATTTCATAATTCTGCAATTCTGGTTTTACAATAAATGGTAGGGAGAAGGGGATGGTGCTCATAATGTTGCAGTTGCATTCGACATAGTGAAAAAAACATTAAGGGGATTGAGCATCCTACGTGTGAAAGCCTCAATTTTCCGATTTTCTTGTTAAATTGTGTTTATGCTGTTTGACAAGATGGAATGGAGGAATTTAAATATGTCATTCATGAGTCTAACCCGAACACCATTATGGCAAACATTCCTGCAAAGCCTAAACCAAGAACCGGTTTAAAGTGAAGGATACGGAAGTTGAAGTCCTATGTTGATTTTAGAATGGGAACATTTAAAGTGAGAGTGGCTAGAAGAAGGCGTTGTCTGAAGCTCTGGCTTCCCTTCAGCCTCTTGTAAGCCATCTTCCCCATTTCACCTGCGCAATTGAAGCTGCAGATTATGTTGCCTCAGACTGGAGATGAATGAAGAGTTCTCAAAAACCCTACTAAATTTTTACTTTTTTAAAACCAAAACCGTACCAAATGGAGCCAATTAACGACCTTCGGCATGTCAAAGACGTTTGGGCCAAAATTGACAACTGAAGCCCAACATCCTAAGAATTCTCAACTCCCTGTGTCCATACCCCCTTAAGTCAGACTTTGTTGACAAAAAAACGCAAGACTTTAAATTAGTTTCTGTATTATAGATATTTTTATATTATTTTAATTAAAATTAGAGATTATTTTTATAATATGTTAAAAAATTTAGAATTAAATGTCAATATGCATTATTAAGATAAGATAAAGCTTAAGTTAGTTGTCCAAAAAACAATTCGTAAGCGTTTAAATATTTCTATTTAACTCTTGAAAAAATATTTAAATTATTTATTAACTAAATGTATATTTTTTCATGAAATTGTTAATATAATGTCATTTTAAAAATAAAATAGCATATTAATAACTCACTCAAAATATATATTTGAGCTAGAAAGGTGATACATGGATAAATTATTATGTCATAGTATGATATAATAATTAATAATTATAAAATAAAAATAATTGTATAAAATATATATAATAATATTTAAATTGTTCTAAATTTTAAAATTAATAAATATATATTAATATTATTATTAATAAAATTATTTAATATATTATATTAAGTTTTATAATATACTTTTAAATATTTATAAATTAACTTTAAAAGTAAAAAAAATTAAACTCAAATATTATTTTAATTTATAAGATTATAAATTTAAATATATAAAATTTAAAAATACTCTTATAATTAATTTATAATAATTTATCATGTATACATACATACCACAACATAAAGATCAATAGTAAAAAAATAAATTGTAATATATTTAAAAAAATTTAAGACAAAAAATATTAGAAGAATAAAATTAAATATTTTATCTTACAAAATTATATAGCTCACAATTCAAGAATAAAAAATATTAATTATTTTATTGAATAAGCCTATTTTATATTCTAAAATCACTATAATATATCATAATTTAATCTCATATTATTGAATCATACATTTATTACTTAATCTGTTAATTTAAAATTTAAAATATAAAATATTTCATATATTTTATTAAAACTTACAATATACTTAAAATAGATTTTGTAAGACTAAAACTATTGAAAGAATAAAATAAATATTAACTATATTTATAAATATTAAAAACATATTTTATCTTTCAAAATTATATAGCACACAATTTAAGAATAAAAAAAATTAATTCTCCTATGTCTAGTAATTATGTCTGACCATAATATGATGTTTAGAGCTCAAGGATCTGGCCAGTTTATATCCTTTAATCTTTTCTGTTCTGATTTGTCAGATTCTTAATATTTAATCTCTTCCAAGAAATTCTACTTATTGCTTGTCCTGGAAACTGCAGCTAGCGATGCATTGTAATAAAATATGTTGCAGCTTATCAGCGTAAGTTTTGGAGAATCATAGAATATCAATTGCATGATTAATACATAAAAAATAATATAACTGGGATTTCTTGTATTAATCTACAAAATGTATAACGTACTTACTTGTTCTTCAAAATTGGAGAAACGCTATCATTTGCGAGGAACGCTTAAAATACATAACCAGCTAGCAAAATTGGGTTACAATTGAAACTGAACTCTCCTGTCAATCCATTTTGGGCGTGGTTATTTCACAACCATTAGCATTATATTATGTATTGAAGATGCTGTTGCATTCTTTTCCAGGTACCGAAGTAGCAATCGCTTGAAAACTACAATTCGCAGGACTCATTTTGGATTATACAACACTGTTGACGGTGCTTCAAGATACCTTCCGAGAAAGGTTCTTCATGCCATAACCAATACACTTCAGAAAAACAGACTCTGAATTTGGATCCGGTTTGATAATAAACTTCAAATCAAGAAAATCTCGTATGTTTCTGAGAGTTTCAACCCCATGCTGGGAAAGTTTTCCAACTCGAATCTTGGAAACATCTTGAGGGCATAAAGCACAAAGAAGAAATAACAAACCCTGTAAACCAAAACAGTAAAAAATATTAGGGGAAGTCAAAGTTCTGCAAAACTAAGCAAATGTCATCACACACACGTCCTACAAACCCACGTGCAGGACAACAAAATTGATATGTCTCCCCAATAACACATGTTTATGAAAAGAGAGAATTGCCCAAGAAGCAGGTGGATGGTAAAAACTAGAAAGGACAGAGAGGGTAAACAAGGGAAATGTGTCCAGGAGCGACAAGCCAAAAGCCAAAAAGGAATTGTCGATGAAAATGAATTGAAGCGTGCTGTAACACACGACAGGCAGCAATACAATAAAGAAGGAAAATAATTTGGAGATACGCAAAGTGCAAGAGAAGAGAGGTACAAAATTTAACAGAGAAAGGAGTGATCTCTGGGCCCAAGATACCCTCCTGAAAAGGTGGGTTTTGGCTTCATTTTCTTTACTTTTTCCCCTTATCTATTAGACCATAGCCTTTTCTCTCTAGTGTAAGGAGTCTACTTCTGTATTCTATCTGTTTAATACAGGTATCTGTCAACTGTAAGTACCTTACCTCCATATTATTTTGTGTTCAACATAGTATTTATCATTTGGAAAAGAAAGAATAAAGCAGGCCGAAACTGCTGACATACTAACCTGATGTGTCGAATCTACCACTCCACATTGAGCTATCTCCCCTAGTAAAACATTAGCAATTCCCTCACCGATATCCTCAGGAGGCATCAGATCTTTTTTCTCATCATCTGCAAGGCTTGAAGAATCTTCATCCCTAGCATGAGAAACAGCAGTATCTGCAGAGATGAAGCAACCGGTAGTTGTCTCCGCAACCAGTGAAATCCCATATCCAGGAGAACTGTGCCAGCAAATGACAAATTAAATATAAAGAGAATATGTTGTTATGCATTATGCAATATGATTTTCCTTATTTCTATCACACATGCTTCCAAAATTCAAAATGAAATATTCCACAATATTTGTTGAATGCAAGGAATCATACTTTCCAGCCTGTGGACCTGATCGGTGATCAGAAAAAATATGCACATCTGAAATTAGTGGATTGATGATTCGACGAGCCGCTTTAATCATGCTATTTTCAAACTGAACAGACACTCTTGCTGAAAATGTGGTTCCTCTAATCTTCTTAACAAACCCCTCATCAATCCAATTAACTGCCTGGTAGGAAGAACATATAAGATAACAAACAAAAGGAAAAAAAATATATATAATATGTTTAGAAACTCACCGTTAGACTTTGAACAACAGGAAGTGACAAAAGAACTTCGCCACCACCATTCGGAGGTAGTCCGCGACTCTCTACCTTAAGATCCAAGCCTTCAGAAGGGACTCCAAAGCGCTTTAATAAGGGTAAAGCAGTCGATTTGAAGGTATCAACTGATGGATCTTTAGAATCATTTGTGATTCCTACAAACAACATTTCAAACAGTGTCAACTCAACTCATTAGGATATCTTCCAAACGGTCCTTCTCTTCTAGTTTTGAACCTTTTACATACTTTCTTTGATTTATTTTTTACTCCTTTTAGTTAAAAAAAGAATCATTAACCTAAAGAATGAAAAGACAGTATGCAAAAACTCTTATATTGAACCGTTATAAAAAATGTAGTAACTAAAAAAGTGATTAATTATACCTTTGAGCCTAATGGTAAGGGGTTGTTTGGCAAACAAACATATCACGATGAGTGGCTCCAAAAAATAAGCAATGGACCGCGAGACACCACAGTCGTGCGCACGGTGTTGTTTACCACCCATAATAGTTCCCGGTTTATACTTCAATTTGGTACCTGCGAAGCTCAACCAAACGATAATTAAAAAATGATTGTTATTATAGCAACAAAATTGGACTAAAAAATGAAAAAGAAAAAGGACATACCGGTTTCGTTGATTTCGACGTGGCAATCGTCGCAAACAGTCTCGAACAAACGAAGAAGTGAAATCTCGTGGTTGCGGAGACCAGGCCAAGTTTCAGTTGCGCGAATGTCTTCGATGAGAATGGGAGTGGAAGTGAGAGTGGCGAGAAGAAGGCGTTGTCTGAAGCTCTGGCTTCCCTTCAGCCTCTTGTAAGCCATCTTCCCCATTTCACCTGCGCAATTGAAGCTGCAGATTTTGTTGCCTCGTCAGAGATTGGAGATGAATGAAGAGTTCTCAAAAACCCTACCAAATTTCTTTCTTTCTTTTTTTCAACCAAAACCCTACCAAATGGAGCCAATTAACACCTTCGGCATGTCGAAGACGTTTGGGCCCAAAATTGACAACTGAAGCCCAACATCCTAAGAATTCTCAACTCCCTGTGTCCATACCCCCTTAAGTCAGACTTTGTTGACAAGAAAACGCAAGACTTTAAATTAGTTTCTGTATTATAGATATTTTTATATTATTTTTAATTAAAATTAGAGATTATTTTTATAATATGTTAAAAAAATTTAGAATTAAATGTCAATATGCATTATTAAGATAAGATAAAGCTTAAGTTAGTTGTCCAAGAAACAATTCGTAAGCGTTTAAATATTTCTATTTAACTCTTGAAAAAATATTTAAATTATTTATTAATTAAATGTATATTTTGTCATGGAATTGTTAATATAATGTCATTTTAAAAATAAAATATTATATTAATAACTCACTGAAAATATATATTTGAGCTAGAAAAGTGATGCATGGATAAATTATTATGTCATAGTATGATATAATAATTAATAATTATAAAATAAAAATAATTGTATAAAATATATATAATAATATTTAAACTGTTTTAAATTTTAAAATTAATAAATATATACTAATATTATTATTAATAAAATTATTTAATATATTGTATTAAGTTTTATAATATACTTTTAAATATTTATAAATTAACTTTAAAAATAGAAAAATTAAACTCAAATATTATTTTAATTTATAAGATTATAAATTTAAATATATAAAGTTTAAAAATACTCTTATAATTAATTTATAATAATTTAATATATATATATATATATATATATATATATATACATACCACAATATAAGGATCCATAGTAAAAAAATAAATTGTAATATATTTAAAAAAATTTAAAACAAAAAATATTGAAGGAATAAAATTATATATATTATCTTATAAAATTATATAGTTCACAATTTAAGGATTAAAAATATTAATTATTTTATTAAATAAACTTATTTTGTATTCTAAAATCACTATCGTGTATCATAATTTAACCTCATGTTATTGAATCATATATTTATTACTTAATCTATTAATTTAAAATTTAAAATAAAAAATATTTCATATATTACATTAAGACTTACCATATACTAAAAATAAAATTTGTAAGAATAAAACTATTGAAAGAATAAAATAAATATTAACTATATTTATAAATACTAAAAATATATTTTATTTTTCAAAACTATATAGCACACAATTTAGGAATAAAAAAGATTAATTCTCTTATGTCTAGTAAATATGTCTGAGTATATTATATAATTATAATTAAATATAAAATTTATTATTTGTAATATAATAGAAAGAAAAAAATACAAAATAAAATTTGTTGATTATTTTTAATTATAAATTATCTATCAAAAATAAATTTAACAGTTGAAAATAATTTATATGTAACTTTAAACATTAAAAATTTTATTAATAATAATTTAATTATAAATTAGTAAATATAGTTATATGCCACAAAAATCTGTTTATATTATATATTAGTATATATTAATATTATAAATTGCCACGACATGAGCATCTTTTTAGCAAGAATTATTGCAGTAGGATAATAACTAGGAGGATTTGAAAATCATTATGGCATTAAGATTTTTAAGGTTTAGTCAAGGCTTAGCTCAGGACTCCATTACTCGTCGTAAACCACACATGACATTGAGAGTCATGATGATATTAATGCGGAATATCTTTATTAGAACATTGCTTCTCATTTCAGACAATTAACAATAATTTTTCTATGGACTTATGGGAATTTATTTCATATAGCTTGGCAAGGAAATTTTGAAGCATGGATACAAGATCCTTTACATGTATGACTTATTGCTCATGCAATTTGGGATCCTCATTTTGGTCAACCAGCTATAGAAGCTTTTACTCGAGGGGGTGCTCCAGGCCCAGTGAATATAGCCTATTCCGATGTTTATCAGTGGTGGTATACAATCAGTTTACATACTAATGGTAATCTTTATACTGCAGCTCTTTTTCTATTATTTGTTTCTACCATATATTTTATAACATGTTGGTTACATCTAAAGCTAAAATAGAAACCGAGTGTTTCGTGGTTTAAAAATGCTAAATCCTGTCTTGATAATCATTTATCAAGACTATTCGGAGTTAGTTCCTTGACTTGGACAGGACATTTAGTCAATGTCACTATTCCGAGTCTAGGGGAGAATATGTTTGTTGGAATAATTTTTTAGGTGTATTGCCACATCCCTAAGGACTTAATTTAAAGTTCAAGAGTTTTCTGTAATTTTATCAGTTATCAATTTCTAATAATAAAATTTAAAATAAACATTAATATATTTATTATTTTAATGTCTTTATTCTAATTCATAGTTCTATAATTTTATTAATTATTAATTTTTAATAATAAAATTTAAAATAAACATTAATATTAAGGTTAAAATCTGTCGAATGCACCTTTTGAACATATGAAATTGTTAATTAGAAATAAATGTATTTAAGTGATTTGAATTAAATCATTTAAGACGGCATAAATATATATTAAAACTGCTAATTAAAAATAAAAAATGAATAGATTTAATTGATTTAAATTAAACCGTTTAAGATGGTCTTAAATAGTAATTAATTATTATTAATTAATATATTAATATATAAAGATTATTGTTAATGAGTGAAGACAAATTTTTCTTCAAAAGATATTGCAAAATTTCTTCCAAAACTCATATACTTTTATATATATAAAGATAAAGATTTTCTTTCATTACCATCTAAATACTTTGCAATTACTTCTTGAGTTAGAGGCTGTTGGAAGAAATTATAGGGGTTACAAATACATATTTAGGCATGAAAAATTCAAAAATTTAGTGAATAATTAGACTTGACATTTTGACAAAGGTTTATCAATAGAGAAAATACTTTTTTTTTTTGTTGAACGATGAAGGATGATGAATATGATTAATCATAGATTCATAGTAAAAACATTGGATCTAGGTCTATTTAGTAATATACGTTAGAGCATATTCTCGTAAGTGAAGCCGACAAAGGATATAACGTGTGTGTACTTCCGAAGAAATTTAAATTTAGTCTCTCATCTCAATATACAAATACACATACATAAAAAATAAACGAGGGAGAATTTTTCTCTAACGATTAGAACTTTTCCAAAAATGTCCAACACTAAATCATTTGATGAAAAAACAATTCTAACCACATAAATATTTATCCAAAAAATATATTTGACAAAATCTATTATAATCCTCCTTGAGTGTTTTTTTCTAACTAGTAGACAAACTTTTGCTGTTGTTTGTTGGTTGTTTACTCAATAGTGTCCAAAATTGCTAGCAAGGTTGCCTCCTTCTGCACTTGCTACAAATAAGGCCAAAGCCCAGGGAATGGTAATGAGTTTGAAAAGAGTAAATGGAATTTTGGTTTTTGGAAGAAATTGCCATAATTAAACCTTTGCATGCTTATTATATAGGGATTAAAGGTCCATTATGTTTTGGATCTCTGTGAAATGACTTGATCATGTTACTAATATTGTTCAACTTCAAATGATATGCTTTATATTGTAGAGTGCTTTTTGTAATCTCTCATATTGAATCGTAATAAATGGTATTTGTAGTATTTTCTTATTCTATTGTTGCGCATGAATTCCCAGCGTTTTAACCTTGCATATGCTTGTACTATATGGTCTTAAAGCGCTCTAAACTTACCTCCCATTTCTTTAGTTCCAGAAAAAGTTATTCATAAAGTTACCTACCAGATGGATATGAATCCCTAGTATGGTATTACTTGCAAATGGAAAAAGTGCTAGTACAGATACTTTGGTATTTACCAATGCTTGAATCAAGGTTTATTTGTTAAGTTTTAAGATTAATACTAGGAATATATTCGAATATTTTTTTTATTAAGTTAGACATTTTTAATTACATATGTTGTTGAATTTTAACTTTAATATTAAAATAGTACTTTTATTTTTAGTTTTTTAGAAAAAAAAAGGCTCAGTAAAAGAAAATTGATAAAATATATTTTAGTCTTGACAAATACAGTTAAATTTGGCATTAATTCCTTAAAAAACTATTAATTTTGATCCTCATAGTTTTAAAATTTTAAAATATTCTTTATCATTACTTATTGATAATATGATCTTACACTTTCATGTAATAACATAATACTTAATACCCTTTTTTTACACAACAGAGAAGGGTATTAAGTAAAATTTTGTTAAATTTCAAAAAGTGAAAATATAATTTATCTTACATTTAAAAATGTTATGTTATATATCATTTTAAAATAGTCGTTAACACAACATATTAGATATAGGTACGTCAATACCAAGTAGCAACAAGAACAATTTTAAAAATTGAAACAATGAAAATAAAAATAAAAGTACTAAAATTAAATTTAGTCATATTAATAAGAAATAAAAATATATTTAAGCAAGTGAAAAGCATATACCATTTACCTAAAATGCAGGTAATGAATTGAGGTGTAGTAGTAGTTACGTACCCAAAAATATGAGGACGAATGTTAAAATTGCAATCCACATAAAAGTAGTCCAAGGATAGAAGCTTTTTTTCATATACAGGGACAGAGACCATCTCAAACTCTTAACATTACAATCTCTATGCTTGTTTGTCCTTTACGCATGCAGTTGATTCACAACATTTTAGACCAAATGCTTCTATGTGGCAAATAACTTGAACACCATAATTAGGGCTCAAGCTTATTTTGGAAACAAATAGGTCACCCCTTCTCCAACAAAACCTAAAGTGCCACCATCTCTTCATTATGTGACATTTTTTTATTTAATACAAGCAAGTAGTAGAAGTTGCATCCTTGTAGTATGTCTACCAAAGCAGAAGTTGCATGGATGTCTCTCAAGTCTCCAATAAAATTAATCAAGCCAATTTATGACACGCCACTACCATCAAAATACTATCTTTTATTATTTGAATATCAAATAATTGATGTTGTTTTAAATGTAATCATTTTATTTTTATTATTTTGTAAATAATATTAAAAACATTTGTCTAAAAATAAAAATTCAATCTATCTCACTTTAGTTAAAAAGTAATGTTTTTTTAATTAAAAATGATTTCCTAAGTACAAAAGAAATATATGTATCAAACAATACAATGCAAAATCCTAAATGTTAGCCCAATACTAAAATAGGAAAAATAGGAAGGGATTCTTTTTTTGTTTTTTTTTTTTCCCTCCAAAGGCATGTTAGGTTACGGTTAGGTTCACGTGAAAGGCATGTGAGAAAGGTTGCGTATGTTGGAGGAACAGCCTGTCTCTGGATTTTAGACCCAACAAACTCAGCGTTCTTCTAGAAATCGTGACCCAATAAAAAGAATGATTCAATTCTTTTTTTTATCTCATTCATTCTTAATAAAATATTAATATGTTATTTAATAAACTTGTATAGACCATTAAATAATAATATAACATTTAAAGCAACAATATATCACAATTAAAATTCTTTTTTTTTTTTTTTGTTGCAGATGTAAACAAAAGGAACTTCTTAGCAACAGCGATGTTCACACCTGCAACAGATTAAAAAAAAAAAACTTCTAATCCTTATTGCGCAGACGGTGACTTCTCCAATTTTGTTGCAACCCTCTCCATCCTAAGTTTTATTATTAGTTATTTAAATATGGAGTAATTAACTTGCAAATTAAATTGGTTGAACAAAAATTAATCTCGAAAGGCTAGTATTAATTTATTTTTATCACTTTGCCTATTCAAAGATACTTCATCAACTTAAGCATCTTTTCTCTTTAAACTTTAAGAAAAGTGTTTCTAAAATTATATAAAAATCATTTTATTTTAAAGGATTTTTCAAAAGTTACTCATTACAATTTTATAGAATATTTCATTTTAATTTAATAATGCTTATACAGTGTATGAGAAATTTAGTTTTTATATAAATTTGAAAGCATATATATTATATACTTGAATCTTTTCTTATGACACGTGCTTCATTTGGTTGCCGCCAGGCGCCAGCCTAACAAGTAACAACTAATATTTTATATAATTTCTCTTATTTTTTTTTATCATTTGAAAATATGGACATCCAAAACATATTTTCTTTTCCCACAACTAAAACTAATATTTAGTCAAAAAAAGAGCAACTCACCGGTACATCGCATTCGGTCCGATTGGATTTCAATTTTTCAAGATATTGAATTTTTTTATGCTTATTTTTAAAAGGACAAAGTTTTGACTAGCAAAAGAAAAAAAAATACAACATTTTTAAAAGTTATTAAAAAAAGGTAACTAATTAATTATTTTTTAAAAAACAATTACTTTTTCTCCCTATTTATTTAAAGAATGAATGTTTTTATATATTTTTATTTATAAATTTTTATAAAATAAAAAGTACCAATTTACACAATACCACACTTTTTAGTAAAACATTTTGGAGTAATGTAATGTAAGAAAATAGTATATCATAATAATACATATCTTATTCATTTTTATTCACCATAGGTATAGAAAATACAAGAAAGTTGTGAAATGACTTTAATTATAAGTAAAATTATCTAAATTATTATTTCTTAGAGTATTTAAAATATCATTTTACATATTTTTTTTATTACTAATATTAAGATAAAGTGAAAAATATTACAAACAGATTAATTTATAAAACTGAAAAATATAATAATTTTTGTAAAATAAAAACGTATTGTTAAGCTACAAAGGAATTCTCTTACATATAATACATTTAACTTTGATACATTATTATGCATTTTGTTTTCCGAATATTTTTTGTACTCAGGGCTCTGATAAAATTCAATTTTCTTAATAATACACTCATGTGCAAAGTCGAGTTTTTAATCGTTTAATATTGGTTAACTATATTATTAAGCGTGACCGACAAAACAAATATTTGCAGATTCACTTTGATCAATGACAGCAAACGTAAGAACTCTGTATTATTAATCTCCTAACCTTCTATTATTGTTCCTTTTGCGTGGCAACATCATGATTTTCATTACGAATAGATATCTATTTAAATTATAAAACACTTTTAATCTTTTATTTTATAAAGCAATATTTATTTAATTTTTTATATAATAGTAATAAAATAAATTTAATTAAAAAATAAAATTTAAAAATTAAAGTTTTAAGTAAATATTTATAGAATAAAAAATTAAAACCATAAACATTTATAATTTGGCGGATTAAAAAGAATATGTATTAATTTTATTAAAGTATGTTGATATAGAAAGGAGAAAGTAGAGGGCATTACGTAAGGCGCCGCTTGAAAGCCTAAAGCACACGCAGTTCCTGTTTTGCCTCGTAACTTCCTCTCTCCCACCTCTCTGGACTCTGTTTGACCCCTTTAACATACCAATATACCATACCTGACCCATCTCTTTCTCTCTTTACAACTACCTCTTCTCTCTTATTTTTCTCCCTCAATTTTCGGAAACTCCGCGAAACAATTGTAAACAGAAAATGCGGAGTTTTACTTTCTTTCAACGAGTTTCTAGAGCTTTCCATGACCATGGCTCCCAATTGAAGCTTGTACTTCTCTGCACCACCGTAAGGTACCATCAACTTCATTTCACTTCTTCCCCCTCTTTTGTATTACACTATTCTCTAAAAGAAATATATTGTAATTACTTTTGTACTCTGCTTTGACTTTTCGTCGTGCTTGCTTTATCTTATTTTCACCTCTTCGCTGAATTTTGCTTTTAGGATAGATCCACATATATTGCGATGAAAATTAACTTTTCAAGCCATTTATTCAAAATTATCTCCAAAGTTATTTCTGATCCTCTGAATCAAACTATACTCTGGTTTGCTTAATTCTTCAAGGAAAGACAGCGTGTAATCCAGAGTCCAGACGCAGATTAAATTGAATACACATATATATTATCATATAGTATATATTATGATATGATACAAGGAAGTCTCTCTTATATGATAGTGTGAATTATAATGGTTAAAAATAAATATATTTTTTAAAATAATCTTATGATTTTAATAGACTTTTAAGTTTAACCATTTATGGATCGACCGTTGATATTTGTTCCTCTTAGTCTCGTATATGAGTGAATAGATCGACGAAAAACTTTGAAGGCTTATGCAGAAATGTGGACTTAAACACACATATGTTATGTTATATATTTGTGTGATTGAAGAGGTTAACGCTTTGGTGGATGCAGTGGTGGAGGGCTTTTGGCTTACAGTGATGCCGTTGGAACATCTGAAGCGGCGGTGACAGAGAAGAAAAAGGTGGTGGTGCTGGGAACTGGGTGGGCAGGGACGAGTTTCTTGAAGAATCTGAACAATCCCAGATATGAGGTTCACGTGGTGTCACCTCGTAATTATTTTGCATTCACTCCTTTGCTGCCCAGTGTTACCTGCGGCACCGTCGAGGCGCGCAGCATTGTTGAACCCGTCCGCAATATTTTTAGGAAGGTGATGATCAAAACAAAACAGATACTTGTTCCCCTGTTTCTTATTATTGAATTATGAATTTGTAAATTAATCTTAAAATAATTTTTATATATGATTAAGAAAAATCACCGTGCACGAACAAGGATCAATTATAGCTATTTCTTGAATTTTAAGTCCCTGAAGATACGGGTACATTAGAACTCAATAAGAAAAACTTTGCTGCTATAATGATTCAACTAGGCTTAAATTAGGTTCATCGGAGTCCTAAACCAAAATTATGGATTTTAGTTGTATTGTCAATCATGCTTGGATAGAGCAGCACTTTCTCCCTATATTATACTAAGATATTAAAAGTTATTGAAGTCTTTTTTAAATATATCACTAATTCTTTCACTAAAATTAACAGTTAAGATTGTTCTGTCTATATAAAAGTATAAAATGTTCTCTCAGAGTATTATAGAATTTACTTTTAATTTTTTTATTATTTTGTTAACTAAAACTTTATTTCTTCTTCTTTTTTTTGCTATTAAAACTATATTTCTTTATTAAATGGAATTTAATTTATTAGATTAAAACAACAAAAATAATTTAATATGTGGGATTCTTTTTTTCTTTTTCATTAACCTATTTACGTCATATATGTATTCTTTGGAACTTTTGTCACACCGTTGTGTTATATTTTCTGTGAAACGAACGGAGCTTTGGTCTCATGTCTAGACGCAATGTGACTGAAGTTTGCCGTCACTGTTTTCACCGGAATTTCTTGTTATGTCAATCACACTTATGAGATTGTATCACATCATAAACGAATAGGATATGCTGGTGTGATGACGAATTGCCATTAGGAGATACATATCTGGTAATTAGATTGCCAGTATAGAAATTTGCTTAATGCTATACTCATTACTAGTGGATATAACTAGACCCTTTTTCATGTCATCTTCCGAGCAGAAAGAGGTGGACGTTCAATTCAGTGAAGCACAATGTGTCAAGATTGACGCAGCAAACAGGAAAGTTTACTGTCGATCTAATATAAGCAATAATTTGAACGAGAAAGATGAATTTGTTGTCGACTATGACTACCTAATCATAGCTGTGGGGGCAAATGTCAACACATTTAATACTCCGGGAGTGATGGAGAATTGTCATTTCTTGAAGGTAACTTCTTTTATCAATATCATATAGAGTGCATCATAATAGCATGCATTTATGGTGTACATTTAAAAAAAAAAAAACTTCGTCCAGTTAAGAAAGAGTGAGGCAAGGAGAAAGAGTAAAATCAAGTGATGTCGTAGCCTCATAGGTGTGATTGGTTTTGGTTTATGCACGCGTTTTTGGTTTTTAGTTATCTCATGGACATGTGTGTACTGTGAAGGAAGTTGAAGATGCACAGAAGATTAGAAGAGCTGTCATTGACTGCTTTGAGAGAGCAAGTTTGCCTAGTGTAAGTGAAGAAGAAAAGAAGAGAATTCTTCATTTTGCTATCGTTGGAGGTGGTCCAACTGGAGTGGAGTTTGCAGCCTCACTACATGATTTTGTCACTGAGGATTTGGTCAAGTTATATCCTGGGATAAAGGATTTAGTTAAAATTACGCTTCTGGAGGCTGGAGAGCATATTTTGAGCATGTGAGTGTGAAACTCTCGTTACACTTTTGTCCTTATTAGAAACTTTTTTAATGATGCTTTGATGTCCCTTATTTTTGTTTGAGTAGGCATTTCGGTATTTGAAAGTATTCGATCCAGTCATGGATTTTATGTTTTGTTGTTTAAACTAGAACCTTCTATAAATTTATACAGTTTCATTCTTATGCTCTCATTTTTCAGGTTTGACAAAAGAATCACTGCTTTTGCTGAAGACAAGTTCGGAAGAGATGGCATTGATGTGAAAACAGGATCCATGGTTGTGAAGGTATCTGAGAAAGAAATATCTACTAAGGAAATGAAAAATGGAGGAGAAATTACTACAATTCCTTATGGAATGGCTGTCTGGTCAACTGGTATCGGCACTCGTCCATTTATAAGAGATTTTATGTCACAAATTGGTCAGGTGTGTCTTTGGGAACTTTGCCCTTATATTTGTTCTGGATTCAATAGGCCATATCATGTTTCTCTTGTAGTTTGTTTTTATAATTTTACGTTCATCTATTATTTACTTAACATTGATAATTCTGAACAGGCCAACAGACGTGCCATAGCTACTGATGAATGGTTGAGAGTTGAATCAACTACCAATGTATATGCGCTTGGTGATTGTGCTACAATAAATCAGCGAAAAGTCATGGTATCTTATACTATCTAATCCTCCATTTATTTGATTAACATTGGTCATTCTTACTAGTGCATGTTCTCACGCTTGCGACACTCCAGCTATATTCCATTCTTATAGATATTCGTGTTAATACTGTGAAGTCTATATTACATTCAGCGTTTACGGTTGCAATTTATTTATTCTGTCTTTTCATTGCGGTAATATATCTATTTAATTTTGTTGAAATAGCAAGTGTATGCTCACCAGCATTTATTGCCTGGCCAAGCTAATTGAATAAAAGGGGGCGTTTGGAAGAATTTATTGGTAGCTTATGCAAATATTTAGGATTCCAATAAGGTCTCCTTAGCTTAGTTCAATAGGTTTACTGGTATACTTTATCAAAATACGTTTTTTTCAGCTTATTCAAATAAATTTTTTATTTAGAGTTCAAATAAATTTATGGCATAACCCTGAAATTTGTTGACAATCTGGGAATTGTATGATGTGTGATATTTATTTGAATTTCACATGATATTTCTCCCTGTTGATTGTGAACTTGGGTTGTTGTGGCATTTTAGGAAGATATTGCGGCAATATTTAAGAAGGCTGACAAAGACAACTCAGGAACTCTTACAGTCAAAGAATTTCAGGAGACATTGGATGACATCTGTGAAAGATACCCACAGGTGGAATTGTATCTTAAGAATAAACAGATGCACGACATTGCTGATCTGTTGAAGGAGGCCAAGGGAGATGTTGAAAAAGAATCTATTGAACTCAACATCGATGAACTCAAAACTGCGCTCTCTAAAGTGGATTCTCAGATGAAATTTCTTCCGGCCACAGCGCAGGTGCATATCTTCTTATATGGCATTCTCTTATCTGATTTTGTCCCCCCAGTGATATGACTTTGGGTTTCTAAAACTACATATCAGGTTGCATCCCAGCAAGGCACCTACCTGGCCAAGTGCTTTAACCGGATGGAAGAGTGTGAAAAGAATCCAGAGGGTCCTCTCAGGTTCAGAGGAGAAGGGCGCCATCGCTTCAAGCCCTTTAGGTAACATGATCATATTAATTTCTAGTTCCTAGTCTTTGATGTGCTCTTTACCTTTGACATGATGAAGGTTTTTCACTGGTTGGCAAATGATTTGCTCATTACTACATGGTTGATTGCTCCTGAAGGTACAAGCATTTTGGCCAATTTGCTCCTCTAGGAGGAGAGCAGACAGCTGCACAGCTTCCTGGGGATTGGGTTTCAATTGGACACAGCAGTCAATGGCTGTGGTATTCTGTCTATGCAAGGTAAGTGAATTTCCTTTTGCTTAATGATTTTCTTAAAACTACAAGATTCATTATGCATGCTTATCATCAAGTTGTTAAAGCTTCATCCCATGCTTGAACAGCAAGCAAGTAAGCTGGCGCACAAGGGCGTTAGTTGTATCAGACTGGACAAGACGCTTTATTTTTGGGAGGGATTCAAGTCAAATCTGAAACAGTTTTTAACATTTTCCAGTCTCTTCTGTGCCAATATTGCAGAGCTCATCGATCTTCATTTTATTTTCATATAGGGATTTTTTTTTCGTTCTTTTTTCTTTTTCTCACTTGCTGATTCTTTGAATAACACGAGCAGGCTCCCAGCGGGGACGTCACAGCTGGGATTTTTTTATGATGCTTTCCCATGTTTACCTTCATAAATGAATATTTTACATACCCCTCCCCTTTTCTTTCATGGCTATGATATTGGAATTGAGGCATTAGTGGATCTCCGAGTTTTGCAGATTTATTTCGGAGATGCTTGGTGATGCTTAGCTTCTCATCAATCATTCCTGTTATTTTGATTCAATACTTTGTTATTTTCCTATTTTTCGAATTTCTGCTCAAGGGAATAAGTTTATTTTAGATCATTGCTTTGTTGGAATGTACATGGGTAGACTCTATTGTGTTTCTTCTGTCTTGTCAATTATGCGAATCCAGAAATGCATCCTTAAACAAACGGAAATTTGTTAGTAAGCGCTCGTGGTTGAATTGTTTGCTATCGGCATTAAAGAAAAGTGTATAACAGTTGCTTAATGCTTTTTCCATTTACATGGTTATATGAAAATGACTATAATCACATTCTTATGTTTTCAAGATTTGAGGATTGAAAATCTGTTACTGTTACCGTTGTACTATTCTTTTTATGATTGTATATCCCCACTAAAGTGTCAATTGAACATCCTAGTAAAAAGTACAACAATATTTAATCTATGGAAATAAATGTGTATTTGATCACAAGGTGACTAGTTCAAAACGAAGTATAATTGAAGCATTAATGGATTCATCTAAAGCATCAATATGTCACGAGTATTTTAAAATTTAGATAAAATATAAATTAAAAATTAAAACTTTTAAAAAATAAACTAGGTTCTATTAATTCGTTCAAAACGAAGTATAATTGAAGCATTAATGGATTCATCTAAAGCATCAATATGTCACGAGTATTTTAAAATTTAGATAAAATATAAATTAAAAATTAAAACTTTTAAAAAATAAACTAGGTTCTATTAATTCATGCAGTTAGGGATGGAAATAGTAGGGTATGGGTAGGGTACTGTAGTACTCATCTCCATGCCCGTGTTTTAAAAAAAATACTTGTACTCGGTTTCATATTCATGCAGGTATGAACATTAATCTCCGTACCCGTATTCTCTAGGTACCCGCATATCTATTTTGTACCCATTATCTGCGCTTGTTTAAGAAAAAAATATTTATAAAAAAAATATGTTTATATAATTTCACATAAGTAGTATAATAATACAAAAATTTAATATGTAGTTGCCGAACAAGGTACAAACATATATTAAAAAATAAATATTCAAATATCATAAATGCTAAATGTATTTTAATATAATAATTTTCTAAACTAAAATTTTTAAAAACAATAAGCAAAACTAAACACATAAGTTATTTGTCAGTGATAACTCTATCTTGTGTGAGATTTGATCGATTAGCAATGTTAACGAAATAGATCTTCACAATAGTTGTCCCTTCGTGTAGGATCACTTGGTGACCTCTTATGACAACATTGACAACTAATTCTAATGAATAATGTTTCATAATTGTTAAGTTTTAATGGGATAGACATTGAGAATGAGAATAGAGTTAAAGTAGAGAAATTCAATACTAACAACAGAAAATAGATACATAAAATATTTTTTTTAACATTTGAATTTGAAATTGTAAGAAAAATAATAGATTTAATTAAAATCATATATATATATATATATATATATATTAATACTAATATTTTTTAACTCATATACTATACGAAAGTATTTTATCAAAAATATAAATTTTTAAAAAATTATTTTAACAAATTAAATATTCATAATGTATATAAATTTTAAAAGAAAGAATTTGAATAAAAGATAAATAGTTACAATAAAATTTTATAATAAAGAAATATATGTGTATACTAAAAAAATTATACTTTTTTATCTAAAAAAATTAACAAATAAAAATTAACAATAATTTTTTATATTTATATATTTTTAAAAACTTCTTTGAATGTGAATAAATAGTAAGTATAATATTATTTAAATTTAATAGATTATAGTTGTGCTTGTAATACATATGTTGCATAGAAAAATATTATTTTAAATTTAAATATAAAAAATAAAATTTAAATATTATTAATAAAAAATAAGTTTACGGTAATAGTAGGTGATTATAAAATTTATAAAATATTTATAATATATTTATTATTTATCATTCACTTTATGATTTAAACATCAATATGATTTTATTAACAAAAATATTTGTGTGAAAATATTTTATGTGTCATATATAAATAATATTTTAAAAAAATCAATCTCATATTAATTATGTAATAATTAAATTATATTAGCTTAATTAAATGATATAAAATAATAAATAAATTTTTCTATTAAAAATATAAACCAAAATAAAATTTTAGTTTACTTTATTATTAAATATATTTTTATATTAATCTTATATAACTTCACATAAGTAATATAATAATATAAAAATTTAATGTATAATTATAGAATAAATTCAAGCATATATATATGCGGGTATGGGGCAGGGTGGGTACTTAAATACCCATACCCGCACTCATCTCTATTAAAATTTGTGGATTTTTATTCACACCCATACCTATACCCATATAGCGGGTAAATACCCTACCCATTGTGGATAAATTTTGTGGGTGTCCATCGAGTACTTTACCCATTGTTATCCCTATATGCAATACAGAGTTTAGTTTTCTTTGTACAAAGTTCTATTAATCCAATCTGAGCCAAATTAAGTTGATTTATTTTGAAAAAAATCTTATTTTTTAACATTTAACTTTTTCATTTATCAAATAGTTTAAATAAAATTTTTATCCTTTTAAAAAATATTTTTGATTTTCATATTATTTTTATGTTGATAATTTGTTAATTTATTTTATTATTTGCTTACATGCCATTTAAATTTAGTCATATAATTTGATAAGGACATAATATGGACGAGAAGTTTATAATATTATATTTTTAAATAAATTTTTAGATTATAAGATTAAAATTTAGAAATAAGAAATGAAAAGTATAAATATTATAAATTATACACATTAGTTCCATGATATATTGTATGAGCAAAGTCATCTACATAAACAGATAATGAAAAATTTAACCGTTGCCAAAGGAATTATTTAAAAATAAAAAAATTTATATACTTATTTTAAAAAATAAAACAAAAGACTAAATAAAAAATTATTAATTTTTAAAAATTAAAATTTATTTAAGTCTTATTTAAATAAAGACTTTACTTTAAACAATTATTTAATACTTAAATCTCAAATTAACGTGCTTTACTTGAATATGGATATAATCATTAAACCCCTGACATTGTCACCTCAACCATAATAAGAAATTAAATTAATCCATTTTCTAGTTTTAAATATTCTATAAAATGTAAAGAAGACACTTTTTGTTGGTTGTAAAAACAACTCAAATAAGCAATTTTTCAGTGGCTATTCATGTTGCAGAATATATTGTTTTTTTAATCATAAATTGTAAAATTTATTTATAAAACACGTTATGAATCACTGGGATCCGGTGAAGTTGCACTACCCAATAATTTCTTCAACATAAATACTTTTGGGACAATATAAGGAAATAATGGATGTATTGTGATGTTTGTGCAAAGTGTAGAACTTGAGGTGTCTTTCGCAGCATACCGCACAGTACGGAACAAAGGAAAATTGAAGAGTTTCTCTTTTGAGACAACTAGCGATGCACACGAGATTCTAATCAAAGCGTTTATTGTTTAGTTCCCCTGAGGCCATGTTGTCTTGTTACCCAAGTTCATGATTCTCTTAGCAACACAAGTTGGTCATCATTATGGATTGCACATACCTAGGGAGGGGTAGAGCAAAGGAGTATTTTCTGTTTTTATCTTTTTGAATCCTATTTAAACATTTTTTAAAAAGGAGCAACATCAATTGAAAGAAAACCTTATAAATCTACGCATTTCCTTAAGGACATACCAAATTGAGGGAACAACTATATATTTTGAAAAAAAAACTCACGGGCTTTAGCCCACTCTAGAACTTGGAATGGATTGCATATTTGATTTTTTTTTCTCAAATATTTCGTTTAAGATACCAATAAAACAAATCTTAAATATTAATCTTATATAGATTGGGTTAAGTCTAAGTTACTAATTAAAAACAAGATTTTGTTAACTTCAACTTTTGTTGAGTTGAAGTATTTATAAATAGAAAATTTTTATAGAAAAAGTACATAAATATTGTATTAAAATTATAAAAATATAATAAATATTTTTTTAATAAAATTTTATTATTATTAGTTGTTTATTTTCAATGTTAAAAGTTGACATTAAAAAAACTCTTTAAAATATTATGAATTTTAAAAAATTTAACTAAATCATTTAAGTGAAAAAAAATTTGCATGGTCCGAATGACAGTGATTCTGATCAATCAACGTTTAACACATCACTAATTTTAATGTGTCAAACATTGATTAGTTGGGAGTATAGTACCCTCAGACTAATAAAAAAATTTATCTCAAAACTGACACGAAATCTTATCTTATATTATTAGAAAAATGTTAATTATATATTTTTTTTATTCACATATATTTCATTAATGTATACCGTATACCGTGTTAGATGAAAAATGAAAAATAAAAACGGGAAGAAAATCGATAACCATATAATACAAGTTATAACAGCTGATTTTCAAATCCAATTAACATAACTAGTATTATCAATTTAGCAGCATTTGTTTGATTATAGATGCTGTCTAAAAACTAATTTATGATATTCTTCGTGAATTTAGATTTTATCGTTCGACTCATGCATGCATCTAAAAGCGATTCTTTGATTACTAGAGTTCCGATTAAATTTCGCATTCAAATTCAATCCAACAGTTAAAACCGCTGCTAACTGAATAAGGTACAGGTGATTCATTAAAAAGCATATAAACTTGTCACTTATGCAATGGTTTAGGTAAACATCATTGATCTATTGATTGTATCATACATGAATAGTTAAATCATGTGGTCAGCATCCTCAGGTAAATATTAGAAAATTTTCGTTCCTACATTTTAAAGTGGGTGTCACTGCTAGCTAGGTACATTCCTTTATGCTTTCATGCACCTATGAGAGGACAATATTAGAGAACCCTTCTCCTACGTGCCAAAGAAAAGAAACTGTGGTGCAAACGACAAAGGATACATCCCCCGTAAACCATGAAATATGTTCTGCTATCTTCATACATGGAGCTTATCCACTTGTAACGTAAGGCCAATGCTCAAAATTTTAAAAGGAACTATAAAATTGACGTTGATAAATGGGGTCTTGTCAATCACAAATAGTGGGATATTTAAGCACAGATGGTGATGAGGAACCTACAAGAACCTTTCTGCATTGGCTGGTCAATGAACATAAAGAATCTAGTTTAGAGGGTGTTGCAACAGATTGGACTACCGTTTCACATATAGAATCTCGTTTGTGGGAAATTATTTTGAAAGGTGATTCTAGTAACATATGCATATTATTTAACCACATCATTAATTTATGCAGAAAAAACACTAGCCAAAGAAATTCTTTGGTGCAGCTAGTGTA